CAATTAAGAAAGTCATGAGGTAAAGAAACTGATAAATACACTAGAGAAGTAGGCCGGCCGTCAGGGGCCGCACCTAGAATGCTTGGTCCAACAAGGCTTTGAGATGGCGCACAGCACCGGATTGTGCCGCTCCTCTAAAAAATGGTCTGCATTTATTTCTTTCAGTTCATCCCGTTTGTAAATACAAAGGACAGGCAGGAGCAATTCGTTCTATTGATGCTCATCCAAGTGCCCCTTACGTCGCGACATGTGGTATAGATCGTTTCGTCCGTGTGCATGATATCGATACGAGGAAGCTTGCACACAAGGTTCACTATAAAGTTTTAGCCGGCCCGCGGCTGCGACTGACCGCCCTTGACCGCTACTCGTTGGAGTGCTGCAGGGTTCGAAATAGGTTTTATCCTGACTGTGATTTGATTAGGAGTTGAGTGGTCCAACGATCAGTGATGGAGCGCGGTCAGTCGCGCGATTGAATCGCCTGAGTCGCGAAGTATGAACGCGGTATTACAGATCTATTGCAAAACTCGTCTGAATAGAGTACTTATCCGATCAGAACTGCCGAGTTTAACAACCGTAGTGGAAGGCAATGATGAGGAGTGGATGGAATTGAAGGTATGTTGCACTTGCTACTTATTTGCTTATTTGTGTACTCAAGAGCTATTAAGAGTTTTCCAGAAGGAGATCAACTGCGACAGCGATTCTGCTTCCGCAAGTGGCTCAGATGATGACGAGTCGGTAGATGAGTGCAATTGGGAGAAACTAGGTGTAAGCGATGACGATGATCCGATGAACAATGGAACCTTAAGAAAGCGACGCGACGAAGAAGCTGCCTCCATCGAAAATGTGAGCGCCCCTATCGAGTATTTGCGGTTTTTCGCAGGATTACTGTATTCGAAGAAAGGTTCAACTATGGGTATGGGGAGAGAAGACGTTATCAGCGTCATTGGTGGTAGGGAGTTTTGCCATTTTCTCCAGTGCAGGAGGTATACCAAAACTTCTTTCCACCAATGGCGGTGACGACGTTTTTCTGCCCTGAACCTATTGCTGGAAGTGCATTCATTGCAGGAAAGCTGCGGTGATGAGCCTGCCTCCAAAAAGAGAAGAGTGACCAAGTCGAAGAAACGAAGAGAGGAACCGGAAGCGGCAGAGGTAAAAAGATACCTTCTTATTTGATATCTGATACGCTGAGTCACTGTAAACCCAGTACGTAATTAAGGAGCCTGCCGAACCATGCAAAAAAGCCAGGATCGCCAAAGGAGTTAAACGACACGACGAGATCAAAGAAGAGGTAAAATCATGATTATATGAGTCAAGCCCTTTTGTGATCTGAAAATTTCGAGATAATTAGGCACTTTACGATTGCAAAGCATGCATAGTGCGCTTCAAATACGATTGTGGGTGTATAAATGGACCTACAGGAGAGCAAAGGGACTCGTCAGAAGCGCCCAACTCACAACCCTTCTTCTGGGACTTCGCGCTAAAAGACGACACTTTTTAGCTGCTCACAACCCCATGTTACCTACTTCTGGAGCGGTTGGACTCCTCCCGTAAGAGAAATGTGCATTCAAAAGAGCTTGATCTGAAACGTCCAAATATCACTATAACCATAAGTACCTGCTAACCATAGATAAGAGCGGTTTAATTTACCGGTGAAAAATGAATTGGAATGAAATTGAAATTGAATGCAGTCACCCCTCTAACTTGATGGATGGATAAATAAAAATCGGGAAGAAGTTTAGAAGAAGCCGCCCCTCAACTCTAAACCCCGCCCACTTAATAAACAATTCATATAGAAAAATAGCGATCTCAACGGAATTTCTGCCGGAATCTCTCTAGAAATGCCGGAATTTGATCTCTGGATAGAACTTGAAGTAAGAATAAAGGTAGAGTTGTAGGCTATTATTGCGATAATCATGAGCACACAACGCCAAAAAAACGTATACAAACGTCAATTTTCATTTTCTAGCACAAACCGCTCTTATCTATGGGATTTTAGGTAGCATGGCAAAAATTCAATACAAGCCCTCAGCGTGGATTCAGACGAAAGCCTCGCGAAACGCAAAAGGGTTCCAACAGCCTGTCGTGTGCTTCGCTGATCCGATAATAAGTCAGTCGTTATTGTTCTTTTGGTGAGTAATCTTTGCCGTTTCACTATCCCTGTTTCTCTATGGCTTTCCTTTCCTATCGTCCATTTCATCTCCTTAGAATTTTCCTCTCCTCATTTTTCATTTTGGTTCATTTTGGAGAGAGGGGAGGGGCAGTTGGAGACTATGCCACACAATGCACTGTTTATGTGCCCCCTCTTAGCCGATGTCCTTTGAAAGGGTCCACGGAGAGCACATTGTTTCTATAAAGAGTGGAATCGAATGGAAAACCGAGTGGCTTTGTTTTGTTGCCGAGTGCCCACCCCGACGTTGTTTGACCCCATTTGCCGTAAACATGTATACCCAAAGATATTGGTTCAGCGCGCGCTAACAGAACCCATTTAATTGACATCTACTACTAAGAGGCTGAGCTGGTGCAGTGGTAAGAGTGACATGCTTATCTCGCGCGGTCCGAGGTCCAAACCCCGTGTTGGGTTCTTCCCTGGCCAACCGAGCCCTCTTTTCTTTGAGGACGGTGAGATGGTACGAAATTGCTGGGTGGAGAAGAACAATGATGGCTGGCCACAGCAAGTCATTACATGAGCCACATCGCCTTCAATAAGGCAGTGCGAGTCTCTCACACTTTCATCTTTCCTCAGACACTCCTTACTTTTTGTCGTTTGAATTCTATAATGGGGATTTGATGCTTGGGTTCCTTCTTAAGACATATTTTTCAGTTTGCACTCCCCTCGCACTGCCAAATGGCCCCATTCGGTGAAATAGGTTGTATTGCTGGAATCCTGTGTTTTCTTCTTTCGGGACAAGGGATGGCATTTATCTAGTTTGGCATGGCCACGCTTCTTCTCCAGTCGGCTGAGCCCACTCGAATGCACAGTTTTTGACTGAGGATGGGTTTGAGCGAGTTTGGTTCGCGCAGTTGAAGGAGCGAACGTAGAAGAAGTGGAGCTTCACCCACTGCCCCTGTCCATCTTATTGTTACCCCCTTTTGTTGGCGTG